ATATATATATATATATATATATATATATACACACACACACACACAGACGCACACTAGTATCCTTCGGTATAAGAAAGAAATCATTGGGACTCCAGACAGAATAGTTCTGTGATAAGGTTCGTCATTTTTTCTGTACGCTTGTCTGGAAAAGTCACTTACTCACTTACTTAGTTGAAATAGTGAAATTTTAATTCACTCCATAAACAAGTATATAGCGATTTAGGCGGCTTTATAAGTGCAATAATGTTTAGTTTTGCTTAGTCAATACTGTGAAATAGTCATTGTTAATGTTCAAACATTTTAAAGGTGGTTTTAAAAGGGCGATTTTATGGCCGCCATTTTGTTTCATGACGATCCCTACTATTAAACACTACAGTACCTAATGATGATCCATCTCAAACATAAAAACACATATTGTTTAATAATTAACTCTTAAAAATATAACAACAACAATGAAAAACAGTTTAGTAAATATAAATACTTAGCATACAATAATACGAAATTACTACAACATAAACACTTGGTCAATAAATTCTAGTTAATAAGTAACAGTCCCTTACCGAATGTCCAGCAGACGTGCTAGATTTTGGTTTGGAAGATGCAACACACGCTAAATACTGGATTACCTTCTTAGTGTTTTCCGTCTTCCCTGCTCCAGATTCGCCACTTTAAAAACAGAAAATACTACTACAGAGATAGTAATATTCTGTAAGTTTTTGGTACAGTAAGTACCTATTCTGTAAGTTTTTGGTACAGTAAGTACCTATTCTGTAAGTTTTTGGTACAGTAAGCACCTATTCTGTAAGTTTTTGGTACAGTAAGCACCTATTCTGTAAGTTTTTGGTACAGTAAGTACCTATTCTGTAAGTTTTTGGTACAGTAAGTACCTATTCTGTAAGTTTTTGGTAGAGTAAGTACCTATTCTGTAAGTTTTTGGTAGAGTAAGTACCTATTCTGTAAGTTTTTGGTAGAGTAAGTACCTATTCTGTAAGTTTTTGGTACAGTAAGCACCTATTCTGTAAGTTTTTGGTAGAGTAAGTACCTATTCTGTAAGTTTTTGGTAGAGTAAGTACCTATTCTGTAAGTTTTTGGTAGAGTAAGCACCTATTCTGCAAGTTTTTGGTACAGTAAGTACCTATTCTGTAAGTTTTTGGTACATTAAGTACCTATTCTGTAAGTTTTTGGTACAGTAAGTACCTATTATGTAAGTTTTTGGTAGAGTAAGTACCTATTCTGTAAGTTTTTGGTACAGTAAGTACCTATTCTGTAAGTTTTTGGTACAGTAAGTACCTATTCTGTAAGTTTTTGGTACAGTAAGTACCTATTCTGCAAGTTTTTGGTACAGTAATTACCTATTCTGTAAGTTTTTGGTACATTAAGTACCTATTCTGTAAGTTTTTGGTACATTAAGTACCTATTCTGTAAGTTTTTGGTACATTAAGTACCTATTCTGTAAGTTTTTGGTAGAGTAAGTACCTATTCTGTAAGTTTTTGTTACAGTGAATGGAGAGTCACAAGTGTTTCACTGGTTGTAGGAGTTTTTGTGATTCAATAAAAAATGTAAGTTTTTAAGCACCAATAATGCATTTTATTATGGTTGTTAGACCGGTTTGTTCTAACAGAGGTGTATTTGATTGGCTGATGCTGTAGAGAAAAAGCTGTTCATTGGTATAAATTAGTTTCAGTCAACCACGTGATTTTTCTACCAAACTATCTTAACAGATTCCCTACAAAACAACTAATGTAATTTCAATTTTACTTTCTGGGTTAGCTGAAGAAGTTTCATTAAAAACAATAATAAATAGATCAATCAATCAATCTTATTACTTCAATAAACCAACGTCATTTTATTCCAGGTAGATCCATTAATAAATTAACAAACAGTATGTATTCTACTAATACAGGACTGTCACTAACACACACACACACGTTTTTTTTTTACTTTTAAACTGTTGATAGATTATAAGTTAATTTAGACATATTAATACAGCTCCTAACATGACAAACTCGCCTACATTAATTAAATACAATTAAGTTTATAAAGATATAATTTTCAGAATGATGTTTGATCATTTCATTGGTACTTTAAAGGAATAAAATGGACACTGACTACTTCTAGAAATGCTAACTTTACCTTTTCATAACTAGAAATAACGTATCTTTATTTAGATATATTCTGGTAAATTTCTAGAAATTTTTAAGTAGGTGCTTTGCATACAGTTATTGAGATTTCTGTAAACTGAATGTTGTAAAGACGTGAAATTGTGCTAATTCTTTAGCTTACCACAATGTCCATTCAAGAAGGTTTATACTTTCTTGACCCTGTCACTTGGTTATAACCTCCTGGATAGAAGGTATATATTTCAAAGGGTGGTACAGAGACTTGTACAAGTTAGAATGAGTTAGAGGTTTATTTCTCGCGAACGTGTATAAAGGAAATGATCACTGATGCAGGCAAGCTAGTCATTGGGATTCTTCTGCTCCTGCTTTCATCTTGTACAAGTGGACTTCTCACCTGTTCCAACAGCCATTTACAGTCAATACAGGAAATATACAGTACTGGTAAAGGCCCAGCATTATCTGTTGTATTATTACACTCGTGTTTGTTAGTTTGTCCATGAATTGCAGATATTTACAAGTAAACTTACTGTCAGACATCATTGTACCGGAATACCAGAGAATCATAAAAAACATCAGAATAACTAATGCCTTAAGTAAACGGAGATCCAAGTATTTGTCATTTGAAAATTAATTCCAGTTACTACAGAGGATTGAGTATGCTATATTAAAATGAGTTTGAATACACAAATCAGCGACAACCATAACTAACATAATGTTGCAGTGCAATGGAATATATCAGAACTACATTTTGACATTGGCATATTGTAGGTGTTGTGATGCCACCAAAAATGTATCAATTTTGGGAAGGGTGCATCATAGTTATTTCCAAAGAAAAATATTCAAACATTCGGATCATAAAGATATGTTATATGCAATTATTACCTAAACAGGTATATCCATAGTACTTAAATGGTATTGGAAAACAAAGGAACGTGGATCAACTTGGGGCACCAAGACTATCCAAAAAAGAGACCTGCAACAAGTCTTACCCCAGCCACGGTAAGTAATGAGCAGTGACCAAAGTTATTCATGTGCTCCAGGTAGCAGTATGCAACATGAGAAGAATCTTCATCTGGAAATGATATGAACATGTTATAGGTTCACTGAGAAAAGGATTCCATCATATATCCTGTTCAACTGAATTTCGGTGATTGGAATATTGAAACGAGTGTTGAGAAACCGTCGTCCTCCTACGCTAGACAGATTATGTAAAGAATTAGGGAGTAAAGGTTTGTGCTTTGGACATGTCAACTTTATCACGTAGCCTGTTATGCTGCAGGGCTACTGTCAGGAAGCATAGCCGTAAGATAGAGCATGTACGGACGTGGTGAAATGGACTGTAATTACGTGGGGACTCTCCAAAATCGTCTTAATATAATGTATTAGACTTCTCTTTATTATATAAACTCAACTTCAAACGTATTTACTAACATGTTGCTAAAGCAAGTTCAAAATCAGTCTAATATAAACTTGGTTGTCCACAAGACGAAAACATCTGAACTAAATGTACAAACAATACACGCCAAGACTCAAGGTTTTGAAACAAAAATTAACACCATTTAACAGAAACTCACGTTAATCTACCGTATTTACACGCAATGTTTTCATAGGAAAATCTAAACTATAAACACAGATGACCACCAGAGGTCTCTCCATACTGTACCTAAAACAGTTTGAAGATGTAATTAGTTACAATATTTAAGAAAAAGACTATCGTCACAATACAAAAATATGAGGCTAATGAAGTACTAAAACAATTAATATACTTTAACCTCCTCCTCCTTTACGAGGTTATGGAGAAGACAGTCGAATACCTACCTGAAGAATCTAAATCTCGATAGAGAAAAAATATATAACTTAAACATGGCTGTTAAGTAAATTGTATTACAAGATATGCCAGGGCGTATTACAAACATCCTACGTACAATACACTGTAGCATGAAACAAAAGCACAACTGGTACAAAAACAAAAAACAACAACAAAACACGTTTTGAGTTGTTCCAGTTGTCATTAACTCAACTGTGCTGACAATAAGGTGTGTTTTACAGTACAGACTCATGTACTGCTTATTACGATAACATGTTAACACTGTAACTTAAGACTCAGTAACCAAAGAAACGAGTATTATGATACTCACGTGCAAAGAATGGACTGGTCCTCTCGGTCTGGAAAGAAATTAAAGGCGAGTTTAAAGGATGTGGAATGAAACCAGAATAAGCTTTTCTTTCTTCGATTACCTTACCAAAATAACTTGAACTTACTTTAAGTGTTTGTTGGAAGAACAAAGAAAATGACCTACAGAGAACAATATCGTGACCGTATTTATTTGTAGTACAATCTTATTTGTTGATCGCTGTTAATACATATTAAATTTTCCAACATCTAAAATCTAGCTTCGAAACGCTATTCTTACAAACTAATGATAAAAACTAAAAGAAATAAGCAACTTGAATTTTTTTCACTGTTGATTTTTGAAACTATAATGGACCACATACAATTTTTCACTGTTGATTTTTGAAACTATAATGGACCACATACAATTTTTCACTGTTGATTTTTGAAACTATAATGGACCACATACAATTTTTCACTGTTGATTTTTGAAACTCTAATGGACCACATACAATTTTTCACTGTTGATTTTTGAAACTCTAATGGACCACATACAATTTTTCACTGTTGATTTTTGAAACTATAATGGACCACATACAAAGAAATATACTTTTTTACAATCGCCGTCCCTTTTGTTCTTCAAGTTCAATTAACTTGATAGTAGCAGTAATCTGTATATGTGCTTGTTTCTGTCCTTGTTCCCACACTACAGATGGTCGACCCTAAGCGAATGATACTAAGCCTGATTGACAGCCATGTCTTTCGTGTGCACTCGGACCAATGAGCCGATTTAAGAAAGTTTCACGAGCAGGCCTGGACGAGACGAATTATCTTCCTCCACGAGATTGTGATACTGGAATATATGCTTTCGTTCCTGTGTAATGAAACTGTGAAATACCAGATTCAAGCGTGTGAACGTCAATACTTCACACTTCCCTTCGTTCTGTCATTAAATACTTTAGAATTCTCCTTGCACTAAATTAAACAAACTGAGTTATTTAACGTTAGAAGCTGTAGGTGTAACAATATTTTATGATGTTAAATATATTTGCCTTTTATAAAATAGACGATAATACTGAAGAAATAAACATCAGCTACGTATAACTTACAAACTGTTTTTGTATTTATATTTAAATTCAATGAACGAGGTGTTAACGTACTACCACTGATAGTATCAGCAACAAACGACGCTTATTTAAATAATTTAGGAAATATGCTAGATAAAATACAATTTATAATAACTTTTTATTCCCCTCTTAAAGCTAAAACTCGTACAGGTCACTGGTCTTTTATTACAAACATTTAAATAGACTTTCTTCATCGCGAAACGATGACCAATGACAAACACCAGGTGTCAGAACCTGATTTATATTTACACGATCGAACCACAAAATATCCGTTTGAGGTTACCGCTGACGAAACTGCGTCATGATTGCCTCTTCTTGTTTGTTTGTTGAATTAGCCGTCCCTAATTTAAAAGTGATAGACTAAAGGAAAGGCAGCTAGTCAGTACCACCCACCGCCAACTGTTGGGTTACTCTTTTAACAACGAATAGTGGGATTGACCGTAACATTATGACGCTCCCTCGGCCGAAAGGGCGAACATGTTTGGTGGGACTCTCAGATTGCGAGTCGAGCGCCCTAACCACCTGGTCGTTGCCAGGCCCAAGGATTTAATTAATCCTCTATTTATGTCAACTGACGGATTTTATATTTTCCGATGGATAGGAAAGAAGGATGGCTTAAGGCTTCTTCCAGCCCTCGTTATTGCGTGTTGATAAGAAACGGCGAATGTATTCGGTGACGGGATTTGAACTCGTAACGCCTCGAATAATATTTTTATTAAATACTAGAACACCAGTTTTTAACTTTATATATAATGTTTAAGATAACATTTTTGTATAAAAAAATGCCTTATCCACCTCTGACATTGATACCATTAAATTCAGAACACTCAGTATATACAATGGATACACTCTACTGAATGTTATATATGATATATCAAAAGGAGTAGTCTAAAATGTTATCGCTAAAATAACCTATAATCCGTTATATCATTATATATACCTGACATTTTAACATTTACGTGTTCTATTGTTCCTCGAGTATTTATAATACTTACACAACAGATCCTTTGTTTAAATCTAATGAAAAGTCGAGAATGAAAAGCAATCATAACGCGGTCCTATTAGGGCTATTCCTGTAAGGAGAATTTCATTGCACCTTTCTTGTGGAAGGTCGAGAATGAAAGGCAGTCATAACGTGGTCCTATTAGGACTATTCCTGTAAGGAAAATTTCACTGCACCTTTCTTGTGGAAGGTCGAGAATAAAAGACAGGCATAACACGGTCCTATTAGGGCTACTTTTGTGAGGAAAATTTTGCAGTCCCTTTCTGGTCCGCTGTTTTTTCTCTACCCTATAAGACAAACTCTGGCACTTTGTACGCCTATTAGCTTTTTATACGATCAGATGGTCAGTAATCGACTAACCGAATCTAAGTACTGACATACACTATTTGAATTGGTGTTGCTATTTTATTTATTACAAAGTTTTGTTCCGACTAAAAAAAAATCAGTATTAGCAAAATTTCGTAGACAAACGAAATAGATAAATACATACCTTTACATAGTTACAGACAGACATACCTATACGTATGTAAATATATAGATACACAAAGGTTTTGTTTAGAATTATTTGAAGTTTGCAACGAAAGTTTCTTGGCAACTAGATTTGATAATGGAGATACAGTTTCAGTTGAAGAGTAGAGTTTCGAATATAGATGTAGTTTTCGACAGATATCCAAGTCAAAAGTCGTTCCCGAGGTGTTTTGAAGACAGAATGTACAAAATAAATATATGTAATATGTTTAGAAACAAGAATATCGCAGGAACAGAATCAAATTTCACTCTAAATACAACTGCGATCCAACGTGTCAAGAGTTTTAAGATTTTACAGATTATTGGTTAGGTTTATTTATAGTTTGAATTTGACGTTTTATTCTGAAAGAATAGCTTTCTTGATGAGGAAACAGTTTTGATTTTTTAGTCGAAAACTTGCCACCAGAGTACCATGTAAGTGTCTCAAATAAAAATATCAAGATGCCGAAAGTGAATAATCTCTAAAAATAGAAGTTTTAACACGTCAAAATAAAGCTATAAAGCATACAAAAAAGCGTACAGAGAAAAACAAACGTATATATTACCTCAACATAAAAAAAGTATGTAGCAGGGGCACCATTTGAGAAGGAGGCGACAGGAGCAGCCACCCCTTCAAGTGGCAGTTTCTATTCTGGCCAGATTAACACAAATACGCAAACTATACGCTCATACTGTAGGGACTCCAGTTGAATTGGTGGGTGGGGGGTGGAGCACACGATATAAACCTTCTTCTTCTTTGCCCACTCACCCTCTAAAACGTTTTGTGAAATGACGCCTTTGGAACTTAAAGCTGAGCATACAAAGCTTACCTTGCAACATGCTCCTGAAAGCTGCATCTGTGACTGAGAAGATGTGTGGCGGCACCTCGTGGCGCTTTTTACCCTTATATAGTTCAATTACTTTTTCTGTGTAGATGGGCAGCTTCTTGTAGGGGTTGACAACAACGCAGAAAAGCCCAGAATAAGTCTGAAAAGTCGAAATTAAAATACATGAAGCAATATATTAATTTCACAAATGAGGAAGGAAAACATTAGGTAATAAATTTAGAAGAAAAACTATCTTTATACCGCAGATAATTAATTATGAGATAACTTTTATTTTAACCGTTTTAACTTTGTAACCTTGTGATCAAAATGTGTTAATCCCTACAGTGTGCACTACAAATTCTGAGCTTGGATGAAATGACAAGTCGTTGAAATGTGTAAGACTAGTAACTGCAAGAAATCAAAAGCTCGCGAGTTTCTGTACGATTTCCTTCTAAACAGTATTAACACTTTTATAAGCATTCAACTGTAAAAGTTAACCATAATATAGACATGGTAGGTTTGTTGGTTTTAGCACAAAAGGTACACAATGGTCTTCTGTTTACTGCAGGGATAGAACCACGGATTTTAACGTTGGAAGTCCGTAAGGTTACCGCTGGCTTCTGATGAGGCCTATATAATGAGGTGGGGCAGCTGAAGAAGTTGGTGATGGAAACTTGGAACCATGGACGTAACTAGATACGAGAGTTGGGTGGTTGAAGAAGTTAGCGATGGACACTTGGAACCATGGGTATAACTAGATGTGAGAGTTGGGTGGTTGAAGAAGTTGGTGATGGAAACTTGGAACCATGGACGTAACTAGATACGAGAGTTGGGTGGTTGAAGAAGTTGGTGATGGAAACTTGGAACCATGGACGTAACTAGAT